GAGCGCTTTGGCCGAGTCCACGCCCCCCGCCTGAACCACCCTCTCCAAATTGTGGCTGCTATTTTATTTTTTTAGATTTTTTTTCCATAGGGCGCATGCACTCACCAGACAGAGAAAGCGAGCTATCACCCCACTAAGAGAAATGGCCACACCATAATCCCTTCTTCATTCTCCCCTCAGGACTTTGGGCACAGGTGCGCACACGCCCATTGTGTTTTTCAGGCGCCTGGGTCCAGGACTTGACCTGCAGAGTAGGCCATGTGGGATCCAGCACCTTGACCACTCACCACCTGCTGGCCCAGCCATGGTGCTTTTGTTCAGCACAGATGTTCCCTCCCACCTGCCTCCAGGGAAGATGGTAGCTCTCGCCTCCCTTCTGGCCTCTGTGGGACCAGCTTGCCTGAGCTCCAGATACAGTCTGATCATCAGGAGATACCCGCCAGCCCCTCTGAGTCAGCACGCCCAAGCCAGACCCACTGAATCTGAGATGATCCAGCCCCACACTGCCCCTCCTCTCCCTCATCCTGGGCTGGAGTGTGGGGCATGGTCCCAGCTACCTTCAGTCTTCCTCTCTCCCTTCTCCCTTGCCATCCAGTCCTGTCATTTCATCTTGTGAGATCTTCTGGAACCTTCCCTATGTCCATAGCCAGGTGCACTGCCAAGAGGGCTGAAATTCAGTGGGGGCTCTGCCTGCTAAGCCATGCCCCTGGGGCTCACCTGCTTCACAGGAAGTGCTCCCCCCTCTTGGTTCCTCCGTTCTAAGGGAATGCCCCCACACACACACACATACACCAGAGGTATAACGTAGATGATCGATGGGCATGCCCATGGGCCCCCTGGAACTCCAGAATCCTCTAGAATCTGATGTCAAGGTGCCTGCCTACCCAGTCTCACTGCCCATGCTCCCTTCACAGCGGACACTCCCTGATGGGCTTTCTTCTCTTCTGGGCTTTTGCAAGCCGTACTGAGCCTTCAGGGCCTGCCGAGGCCTCTTCCTTTGGATCAGCCTTTCCCAGCCTGGATAGCAGGTAGGCAGCAGCATGAGCACAGCGTTCTGGACACGAGTAGACCTGGTGAGGCCGTGTAGTCTAGCCCTACAGGGTGTAGACTTGGGAGCTCTCTGACCCTCACTTGTTGCCCCAGAACTCCAGGATGCAACCTGCCTGGGGAAGGCCTTTGTGTGAAACCTCTGCCTGAGCCAAAAAGAGTTCTCTAGACCCTTTCGTTCCATAACAAGGAGCTGACCCCTCCCAGTATGACACTTCGGAGCAGTCTGCACAGGAGAACAGTGCTTTTCCCAGTGTTCCTGAGTTTGCCCCCTCGGCGCTCACCCGCCCCGTCCCACCCCGACTGCCCTGCTGTCTCTGCGGGCAGCACCTAGACACAGCGATGTCCAGGGACCGTCTCCTGATGGATTATGGACAGGAGCAGGACCGCCTCTTCCTCCCTGGAGCGATGTCGGCTGTTTTGTTTATCTATGTTCTCCGCTATCGCACCCGCTTCAGAGACAGCGGGACCCAGGCTCCAGGGAAGGACAGGTTCACCCAAGGTCAGCTAGAGTCCATCAGCAGCAAAGGGAAAGCCAGATCCCGCTGGGGCCTGTTCTGTCGGGACCACGGCCCT